ACGTAACCATGGTTTACCTCGACGCAATCTTAAACTAGAAAAAGCGAGCATTTCGAAAATTTACGCCGGCATCTGGAAGTGTCTCTCGACCATGAAAACGAGCGAGCGAGCGAGAGAGAGAGAGAGAGAGAGAGAGAGAGATAGAACGCGTCGCTTAATAGGGCATCGCGAGGCGTATCGAGGCGAATCGCGAGAACAACCGCACGGAGATTGCCATTATTTATGCTCACACCGCGAGAGTACCGCGATATTTCATGTCGCCTGTCGCTACGGGGACGGTGAAGAGCGTTTTGATTAAGCACACGGATCCTCCGAAAGATGAATCATTCCTGGAACCGACAATTCGTGCCACCGTATTTTTATCTATCAATAGGCCGCAAACTTTTGTATCCAAAGTTATGTTTAAATGACAAAACAAATTCATGTTTTAAATTGATCATTATCATTTCACTAGAATAAAAAAAACCACGACGAGAACTTTTAAATGAAACGCAAAGGCGGCCTTTGGTCGAGTATTATTAAAAAAGCGAGCCAGGCCGGTGAGAAATATGATCGTCGTTACTTTGCAAATGTAGCAGAAATGGAAGATAGGACGGGAATAGGATAGGTGGGTGGATTTTCTAGAATTCTTCTCGAGCTGCACACTACGTATGTACGCTATCTATGCACGTTCCGCGTGTACTGAGATTCTATACAGCCTTCGAGGCTATCGATTTCTCATTACCTGACGAACACGTGCTTCGAACTGTGAGTTAGGGCGAGCTTCTGCGGGAAGCGAGCCATTCAGGCGAGACCAACCGGCCGAAATGAAAAACTGCCTCGTAAAAGCTTTGCGCCTTCGGTTTCCTCGCCGGGTCGTCGTTTGATGTTGCGTTTAACGTACAACTTCCTAAGATCTCGAAGCTCCAACACTTTCTTTGACAACGTAACAATTAAAAGTTGTACTCCAGCGAAATGAAAAGCGAGTTGACTTCCGTTGGTCGTTAAAGGATGAAATTGGAGAGTCGATTTCTTTTTTCGTCTCGAAACGAATCGAAGTTTTCGTATGGTAAACTCCCAGTCAAAGTAACCGTAGAGATTAAAGAAGCGCGAGTCGATTTCCGAGATAGTCCTGTAAAGATTCCCAGGATGATTCCCTTCCTCGACAGCTCCTGCGGAATTCGATTCTTCGCTGCTTCCGGAAGATAAGCTTAAATTTTTGATACGCGCTTAGGAGGAGATCAAGTCTGTCGGATTTGTACCTCCGACGAGGGGAAGGAACGTATGTCTTGAATTCTGGGTGAGTAGGACGTTCCTCGAGACCTTGCCATCAGTCCTTGAGAACTGAGGATTTGTTCCAGAGTTATTTCAGTTACCTCGGTGGCCCTCTAGAATATTTATGAGATTCTAGTGAGATTTCACGGGGATTAATTAAGTTCGAAAAATCGGCACAGTACTTTGAATCGAATAGACGAATCGTCATTTTAATGTGCTTTAAGAATAAAGCAGATTTTGAAAGCAGCATAAATTTCAATTGAGGTAAAAGAGGTGTTAATTTCTGTTCTCGTGAGAATTTCTACTTGTTAGCATATTCTCCGGTGATCTGTGCATCAAATTAACGGTACAGCTAGTAACAATGAAATTGAGCCAGCTATGTGCATGTGTTAGTTTCCCCTAGGAGATAAAATTCAAAACGATAAGTCTACGTCTTATTTTTCAATGCTCTTTGACGCGTCAAAAATATAATAAAATCCAACAGTATTGATGTCACATCGAGCATTAAAAAACCAAACGTAGACTTATTACTCGTTTTAAATTTTGTCTCCTAGGGGAAACTAACACATGCATATAGCTGGCTGAATTTCATTGTTATTAACTGTACATACATTGCTCTTTGACGTATTGCAACTTCAGTCCCTCGCGTGGAAAACAAAAGAGCGCAATTCCATTAAGAGGTAACTTTGAATAAATTGGCCGAATGCTCGCGTTAAAAAACCAACAGGCTTTTCCTTTATCGGCGCAGCTTCCCGATTCTATTTACCCGGCGTTTTCCTCTCGACGGTTTTGCGAGCGAAAAATCGAGTTCTGGATAGATTGGATTGGCTACCTCGGACCCGAACAAGATCACCTGGGGTATTCTAAATAAAAAAAAAGAAGAAAACCAACGCTACTTTCTGATTGGTTCGTTCCATCGCTCAATCTGAACGGTGTAAACGTCGGATTCGAGATAAGAAATTGACTTCGTTACTCGGGAACGCAGTTCTATTTCGATGAATAAGAAGGAGTCGGAAAAAATCAATCGGAGTCAACAGGAGACGCCGACGACGTTGCATGATATTTTTGTCATGTTTAAACGATCCGCCGATATAAAAATTGACGAGGTCGACGGATCGTTTCCCGGCTCGACCTTGACCTCAGACGAGACGAACGAAGAAAATTAAATTTTCTCACAGAATCCGATCGTGTGTCATACGCCGTCCACGATAGAACTGCTCGTAAAACTCTTTTCTCCTCTGTACGAGATTGAAGCACGAAACTTATTTCACTTCAGCATTGTTCTTGATTGCGATGCATAGAAATCGTAATCCTACCGTGAATTCTGCTTACGGTTCTCAAAGAATACGCGTCTCGTATGTATTTGAAATCGACAGAGCGAAATGAAAGTTTGTCGTAAAACGAATTGTTGTTGGTCATATCTTTCCCCGTTGTATCAAACATCTATTTGAAAAGTTTCTACTCAGAATGCTCGATATTCGATAATCTTCTTTTCCAAAAATTTAACTCCCTCTGATACGACTGGAGTGCTGTTTATCATCGAGAGTACTCAAATATGCGGAGTAGTACTAATTTTCAAGCATCTACTTGAACTTCTTATCAGATACTTGATCCATCGATTCTTAATGGTCGACCTCTTTATTAAAAAATCGATTCATCTAATTTCTAATTCGTTCGAATCGATATTTGCTAAGGTGTTCGAATCTGATTCTAAACAAAAGAGCAACACTAATTTTGTAGAGTACGAAACGCGTGCAGTGGAAGCCGTAGAAGTTGTTCTCGAACCGATTGATCAATCTCGAGTCCCAGGTCGAGCACGAAAGCTCGACAGCGGTCTGTTCGGGCACCGCTTGATGATCTTTTGATCACCGTACTGAGCCACTGACCAATGAGTGTCCAAGCTTTGTTCGATGACGTCCGACCCATTCGAGTGATTACCGTTCGACCTTAGTCGATCTTTGAGTAACATTCGTGAACTGGCCACGGTAAACAGGTCTAAATGGGTTAGAACATTTGCGTTAATCCTGTATGATATTCTGACATTACGGAGCTATACCGCAAATTAGAGAGAGCGGCCATATGACTGGAGGAGGTATTCGAGGTTTAGGTTAATTCCTGACTCGCTCGATTATCGATTCTTCCGATTATCCAAGATTACTGTGCTTAAAATAGCAACGAAATAGACACAAGTTTTAACTGAATATTTATATCTCTTACTGATAAAACTTTTTAATGCATGCATAAAATATAATAAAGATTGTTATGATTTAAATGAACGATTTTGAAGTTCTTTGAAGTTCAAGAGACGATCTTTCGTAGAGTAAACGACTCGTCACCGATAGACACTTTGGCCGAGAGCGAATATCAATCTCTTTTCCCGGTCGTGGACGTATGTAAGTGCAGGCGTACACGAGCGCAGAGGGAAGGATCGATAGGAGTGTACGTGTTTGTCGTTGGAAAACTGTCCGTACACTCCAAGTCAGCGGGTTATCGTCGCGGGGTGGCTTCAAGTCTAAGGTCAAAGCTATTTCAGGAAGACTTTGCCTTCGGGGTGCCGCGGAAATCGAATGAAAAATATCACCGGCGAGAAACCCGACTCTCCGGTTAACCCGTCTTAATTAAAATATTTAAAGGTTCGACCGCGTATCATTTATTCAACCCAGAATCGTCGAGGTTCAACCCAGAAGCTCGAAGTTATTTTTGAAAGCTTGTTTTTCGCACGGGCAAAGGGTGAAAAGGAGTCGATGCGAACATTTCGTTACCATTTCTGCTTACACGATCCACTTTTCAATCAGCCTTGGCAAGCTGCATATACGCGGCTATAATCGAGTAACGGCCAACGAGCCGAACGACCCGGCGGGGCGGCTTTTGCCAAATTAGACGTTCAAATTTGAAATTCAAATTGATCCGGACTGGCAGCCAAATCAATTTAACGTACCATCTGCCCCCGACAACGTCGAATTTAATCGACGTGCATTCTCAGGCGACCTCGTTGCGTTTCCTATGCTCGGTTATAAACACTTTTAGACAGACACGTTTCACCGTCTCGAGAAGCACTTCTTTGAGGACGACTCTCAGAACTCATTGACAACTGATCAGACGTAACGTTAGATAGAAACGCTCGAACGTCGTCGTAGACAGCGAATGGAGGAAACGAGATATCTGAATATTCCAGTCCAGTATCTCTCGGTTAACAGGATACGTCGCAGCGGTTATCGACGTTACATTTATGCTCCGATGACGCAGGCTTTACCGCGATACGGATACGAGTTGGTCAGCGTAACGTTCCCATAACTCGCGCTTATTGAGCTTGATTACGCTACAATCCAGAATAACGATCCTAATATACAGAATGCTCGTTCGGTTAACGACAGCATCTACGATGCGAACGAATTCCTACCAACTAGACGCGGTTTCATCAACGCGAATAAGTTTTCATCCGATCCCCGCAGCCTCGCATTAATTTAATTGAAAGTCTTCACCAGATTCACGACGTATGAAATTCATCGTTCCCCTCCAAAGGAATTGAATAGACTCGAAAAAGTTAAGGGAACATTTTCGTTGGGGAAACGGAAGTTCGCCGAGTATCGCGACAAAGGAAGATCAACTCGTAAGACGGCACGGTTCTTTAGCGGCGCGAAGTTTAGTAGAAGTTCCCGTTTAACTTTCGCGAGCCTCGCCAACCCATCTGACTCAGCCGTACCGTTATTCGCTCAACGATCTCCCCGTATATTTTCTCATTGCAGAAAAGTGATCCAACTCTCGGTCATCGAGGAGGATTCCTACGAGAAGGACGCGCTGTTTTACGTCGAGCTGGGCGAGCCACAGCTTCAAGGAGGTGAGTGCGCTTCTTTTAAACTACAAAATTGACTCGAGGGGCGATCGGGTTATACATTTTTCTTCTCGCGATTGATAAAAACCGCTCAGGGACAGAAAGTTGTAAATTTGATGTAGGAACGGTCGAAACGCTGCCCGTGAGAAATCCCTGTTCAATCGGTCACCGGAGCCTCGATTCTCGCGAAGGTCGAGAAATAATCGAAAGATCGAAGCGTAACAAGATTTAAATAGCGTCGCGTGTGAGAGAACGGAGGGCGTGACGATGGGAAATGAAAAGTGCCGATTTTCGTTGCTCTTTCACGTAAATTACGATATCGTCAATTTTCTTTATAGTCATCTGAGTACAACTTAGGTAGAAATATTGCTCTTACGATAAAAAAGCTATTCAATCTTTTATAATAAATTTAAATGGGTTGTCGGGCGAATGATAATACGCTTTCTTTCGATCGGTCCTTCGATTTGACTAATTGCGAGGATTTCACAGTTAATGAGCGCTACGGGGCGCAAAGTAGGCGGACTCTTTATCGAGGCGACGGTTAACCGTTAAATGAGCCGTGGGTCGGATAAAAGATCGGTGGAAAATTAAGGGTAATCGTGACCTATCGTTCGCGAGCGGCGTCTCTCCTAAATGGCATCTCGCAATTGAAATTCCTCGTCGCTTCGAGCTTGACGGATTCGATACACGGTCCTCGCGGAATTAGCATTTCCAGCCGATAGATTACGACGAGAACAGGGAGCATCCATCGGACCTCGATCCGATTGTTTTTACCACGGAACCATAAATCGCGAACGCAGCCAGACGAGTGATTATGGGAGAGTCATCATCGATCAAGGAAGAAAAATGAAACGATCGCTCGTCGTTATTCATATGTCATCGATAATTGAAAGAAACGCGTGCACAGGGCGAGGGGGGGAGATTCACTAACTTTCAATCTATTATCGTACACGTGGTGTCTGGAATTAAAATTAGATATTAATCCTTAATTGTGTACTCGTTTTACGCATTTAATCGCAATTGGATCCGACGTGCCCGGATGTAAGTTCGATCTCGTCAGTCACCTGGAACCACTCCATTTCGCAATAAATTATTTTAGAACCGATAACCGCTAGTTTCGAGGAAAATGAGCCATAATGCCGTGGATACATTAGTGCAAAACAGTAGTTGCCTTGTATTAACGCGCTCGCTCAACCGTGTAACGCTTGCTTTTACACTTCATGTCTCCGCGTTTAAAACACAATTTGGCAAGCCATTCGATGAACTTAACGATGTAGTAAATTCACTGGTGTGAACGCGAGATACAGGTTTAAATATGGAAACGTGTAAAGAAAGGTCGGTGATCGACGAGGACAGATTTGTGGAGAAGTATGAAGGAGGGCAAAGTTCTTTGATAAAGACGTTTGACGAGGGATCGTTAACGGAGATGGGCATCGATTCTCCAGATTCCCGTGGCACCGATTGCGCGGCAATAATGCGAAAACCCGTTCGGGATACGTCCCGGACGTAACATCCCCCTGATACGAACGAGGGAATGCGTTCAAGACTTCTACCCATGAAATTCCTGTCGCCCGGAATACCACCGGGCTAACAATCGATCCCTGGATCACCCGCAGAACCCTTCCAACAGATTTATGACGTGCTCTGATAAAGGAACGTCGCCGAGCTATCTATCATCGACGGTGTTTGCAAGCGAATCTTCAAAGCGAATTCTCCTGAGATTAAAAACCGAAAGAACGCCGTTTAATCGCAACGACGTTAACGACTAAATAAATATTTCTTACAACGAGTAAAAATTCCGAGGAACCTCGTTCCACGGCACCGTTCGCAAATGCGACGCAGACTACTTTGTTTCTACTCTCATCGGAAGAAATTGCAGCTTTTACGGAACCGAAATACGAAAAACTCGAGAGGAGAAGTCCAGATTAAACAGCGAATTGCGAAGGGAAATGTTGGTGGCGGAAACGTTTACAAGGGTAGCGAGAACAAGGATCAATTTCGTTTCCTGAGCCAACTTCCTTCCCTAGTGACGGTGTCAGTTACCATGATTTGCATATTACGAGGTTTCGTAACGCGTCCACCGGACCTTATACATATGCATCGTTCTATATTTTGTCGTATAATCTCACTTCGTTTTATATCGTTTGCGGCGTCCCGACCGTTTTGACGGTGTATTTACTTACACCTGGCTTCCCGGGGGATAAACATCATCCAGATTGCGACTACTCGAACCAGCTACGAAATTCCGTTGTACGAAAGAACTTCTGAAGATTGATTCGCCACGTTATTGTGTAAGCCCTCTCTGGCGACGCGATCGATCTAAAACCTCGAAACTTGCTGCATATCGAGTAAGATCGTGAAAATCGATGTCCGCTGAGAATTTGAACGATACCCGCGGCTATAACCGACGTTCTCGATCCGAAGTTGCACTTATAAGCCACTCGTGGACCAATTAAATGATTAATTAGTCGACGGTACTTCGGAACGGAACGGAAGTCGATCGAGAATTCTCCTAGAAGAGTGAACTCGAGAGAGCACTCACTGGCCTGCTTCCGGGCTTCGATTAAGTCAACTGGGAGCATATCGGTTGATAAAGCTTTCCCATTTCGTCTTGTCCGAGCAATTACCATTGCCAGTTTCCGGTCCCGATGTATCTTCCATGAAACTTCGTTCGCTTCGTGACCCATTCGAAGTCCCTGGAAAATTTCCCACGCTGCATCTGGCTTCGTGATCCGCAAAATTTGATTTGTTTCCACAACACGGGGTTGTTGCACGAGTTTGCTTGCTCCTCGCTTGCTAATCGTCCGATTGCCGGCTATCTATCATCATCAGCGTCAGTTTCCAGTTTCGAGTTTACCGACGCTAATTAAATCGGCTACCCGTCGGGCAACTTCCATCGTTAACTTTGCACACTTTTTAACTATGTCCCAATTGTGATTCAAGGAAAAATCATCATCTAATTAAATATCGATTGTTACTTCGATAAAACGATCAGGGGATCGTCGATGCTCGGAGATAATGGCTAGATCGCGTGCCTTCACGATAAGGGAGGCGAATCTGATAACGGAACCGACGTTACAACAGATTATCTAAACCGTTCTTTATTCGTAGTCTGGTCATCGTTACGCGATAAGTTTGGATCGACGGACGTGTAGCAAGATAACGCGTGAATAAAGTCGTGCCATGAAGACCACGCGACGGTAATTGACCGCCCCTGACGATGACGCGATTGTTAGAGTTAATTAAGTCTCGCGCGACGTGGGACGCTCGTTATTTCTACTCTCCGAGTGCGTTAAAGGGTTACGTGTTCGAGGGCCAACGTGACTCCCCGTTTTCGATGTAATTAACTCTCAGCAGAGATTCTTAATGGACAAATGTTGATATTAATCATTTCTCGTCATAGAAAATCCCTATTAAAAGATCGAATTAAAAACTGCAATACGAGAGGGACGATTAAGGAGTTAATTGACTACGTAATGGCAAAAGAAATTGCAAGGGAACTGTATAATCAGAATAAATTCTGTGATGTAATCGTTGAAGAAGGTCGGGTAATTATATTTTTAGGTCGACGATGATACAAGAAACAGTCGCGTGAGCAGCCATGCGTCGGTCTTGATAAGCCGGCGATAAGAGGCCGCTTGGGGTCTCGATAAGACTGCTAATGAATCGCGTCGGTCCGTTCAACTCTATTACGCAGGCGAAATCCCAGATGATAACCGTGAGAGATAAACGAACAAGGTCGCCCGATTTTTCTCGCAGAACTGCCACAGATCTCATGACGCACGACAGCTAAGCATTTTGTCATACAATAATAAATGAGAAAATTATCGGTGACTTTTAAGAATGTATTGGCTATACAGTCAATCCTAAAAGTTTATGTATCTTAGTAAAACGCATTTCCTATCATTAAAAATAGTGCATTTATCTTCTAATTTCGATATTTAATGAGTTAAGTATGATTATTTGGCATTTTA